TTTCTGCTCACTGGTGAGTTAGCCTCTGGATGAGTGTTCAGCACATCAGTCAGCAGCTGTATGGGCCTTGCACTATGGTAGCTGTTATTTGCACATTGTTAATCATGAGCAATGCCTCCTTACATTGTTTAACTGTTAGGTGTTATAACATTGAACTGTACTCTGGAGACAGAGGACAGTACTACACTTGTGAAAAGGCCAGTTTGTGAAAGGTCCAAGTGTTTGTTTTGTTTAAGGTCAAAAAGAAACAGCATGATGGGATGTGCAGTACTAGTAGAGAGTACCAAATATGTAAAGCCCTTTTTTGTTAATGTATGATTTGCTGCATATAAGGAATAAAACAAAATCCTCTGTCGTGCCATATTGAATTGTATCATTATTTTGCATCGTGTTGAATCGCATCGTATCGCCCGAATCGCATAATGTTGAATCAAATCGTATCGTATCGCACCGCCTGGTGTTTCAAATGTATCGTTAATGTATCTATCGTTGGCAACGTATCGAGATGCGCATCGCATCGGCCTCAGTGATGGAGATGCACATCCCTAATATGAAAGCATTGAGAGTGTTGCAGGACCCTCAACATTTAAATAGTATACTTTTTGATCAGAAAAGGTGATAAGGACAATTGTATCTGCAGTATTATATGTGATGATCAGTGTTTATAATTGCGTACTTCATGGGAAAATGTGTTTAAATTGTTTAACACTACAGTACATATTGAAGGTACTGCATAAGGCATGCAAACACGTACAAATATGGAACTGCAACAAAACCCAACACTTCTACTATTGACCAATGGACAAACTTCAGTCTTCATGTCATTGGAACTTGTAAATCAAAAATGAAAAACATCCCCAGGAGAAAAAACTGTCTTTTGTAACCTTGAATGTACAATAACACCCTCTTTTTCTGCAGAACCTTTCCAGAAAGTCTATGAAAATTGTTCCCAAATAGTTGATTGTATTTGTTCTGGTAACATGACCTTTTGTTATTGGCTGACCCTAAACACCTAACCCCGAAATGACTGTTCATAGGACACCTTTCCATTATCCATAAGTCCACTTCCTGGTCATTGAGTTTAACAATATTACCATGATGAGAAAATAATAGCAATCCTCTCTGTGTATGTAGGCCTATTATAGAGAGTCAACTACTTCATTTTTAAACTATATGCATTTAAATATCAAGAAAAATCTATTTATTTTTCAGTATCCATTTACAAGAATGTCAATGTGTGTATTATATTATATTATCTCCCAGCGTCCTCCTGCCTGCCCTTCACCTCCTGACAGAGAGTGAAGTGCTCACTGCCATTACTCTGAGCCGCATCGGCTATAAATTATAATATGTATTGCTCCCGTAGGCATGTCTACTGTATTTAAGTATATATAATTAATATAATATAATAATAATATTTTTTGTTTTACCTTGACGGTATAACTAAGTTTGCAGAATGAGTTGCTAGTGGTTTTTTAGAGTTGTTGTGTGTGTGTGGCTGTGACAGTTACTGTCTTCACCAAAGAGTGTGTGTCATGAACCAAATGTGGCTGCCACAGCATCGTGTTCGTTGAAAATCTTCCAAATCTGGTCACAGGCCGATAGATCGGTGCGTCTGCAGTTCTTAGACCTGTCCTTACAAAACTCATCTTACACATGTGGTTTTTTTGGCCTTTACTTTAGGTTTGGTAAATTGAACTTGAGACATATAAAGGTGATGCGACATACAATCATTTATTTTTTAAATCCCTAAAGAATTTTGAAAAGTTTAGATATTTTCTTCAAACATATTATTTCATTTAGTAGTTGAAAACGTCCATCTTCCTGTACAATCTGCTCTCTGTGTACAGTATGTGAAGGTAATGAAACGCACCTTCTGGCGGCCATATTGCACCATCAGCTGTTGTATAATAGTGAATGAACAGCTGTTAACAGCTCACTCTGCTGAACAGAAACGTTTCTTCTCTCTCAACTGAAGCTGATGAAGTGATCACTGTGGAGTTGTAAAACATTAACAGTGAGTTAAAATGTTTTAGGAAGCTTAAAGAAAAACAAACAGCTTTCTTGTCTGTAGAAGGGGTTACATTTTGAATGTGACTGCAGATTAAGTTAAAGTTCATCCTTCAGTCATGACGATTTTTGCATACATTAACTTACGTATGTGGTCTCCCTCTTTTGGTAGAAAGTGCTGATTTGAAGTGATCAAGAGAGTGAAGTAGAAGACACAAAAATTAAAATGTCAATGAGGAAATATACTAACTTACTATACTAACTTACTAACTATATGTGTCGGTAAAGACCAGATACACCAAACAGACGTCAAAGAACTAGCGGAAACAAAGTTAGAGGGTTCACCCCTCGAAACTCTCCATGTTGCGTGCATCTTGGCCAAACAGTTGCACTTGAATGCACCGCAAAGGCTACAGCCACTGGCTGTCACTTACTTTCTTAGCCTGTGTGTGTGAAAAATAACCATCCATACCATCAGACAGAAGTGATCTGTCGTCTGCATTCAAAAAGTGGGCGAGGTAGATCTAAGACTATAGATAGTCAACATGTTGAGGAAGATATTTAGCCCAGGACAGGCGATTTGTGAATGTCAGTTTCCCAATGGCACCTTGCATGGCAGCCTCTGTATGAATATATGTGAATGAGTGAATGTAGACTTGATCCAACCCAAATTGATCCACAACAAAACTATAACGAAGACCAAAGTGGAGAGCAACATTGTCGGAATCCTTTTCACACTGATTTGATAAAACTGTTCAACTCCATCATCTTAACAACAATAACATTTTAGATAAAATCCTGTCTGGCTATCGAAAACACCACAGTACTGAAATAGCTTTATTAAAGGTAGTGAATGACCGAAGAATTATAACCGATGAAACATCTTGAAAAATTGGTTAGTCTCTCGGGGACAGTCCTTGGATGGTCTCACTCTTACCTGTCTGAAATAAACCTTTGTGTAAGTTTGGGAGACCCTTGTGTCACCAACCTCTGATATTGAATATGGAGTTCCTCAAGGAAGCATTATGGGCCCTATTCTCTTCTCATTATACATGCTCCTTCTGGGCAACATGACAAGCCATGATCCATCCATCCATCCATCCATCCATCCATCCATCTTCTCCCGCTTATCCGTGGTCGGGTCGCGGGGGTAGCAGTACAAGCCATGATAATGTTGAATATCACTGTTACACCGATGATACACAATTGTAAATGTCCATTTCCCCTTAAAACCCCAGTTCTGCAAAAAAAACTGTTTACCTGTCTGAATGATGTAAACAATTTAATGGATGACAACTTTTTTTAAAGAAATTAGCAAAAAACTGAAATTCTATTAGTAGGTCCTAATCAGAATGACAGAGAGTAGAGTCTGTGTTTTCCAGCATGTCCAAATATATCAAAACACAGGTTACAAATCTAGGGGTAATTTTAGACTGTGATCTTAATGTTTTAAGCCATTTTAACAAGGTTGCAAAATTTAGTTTTTCCACTTAAGGACCATTTTTAACTCCAAATGCTGCTAAAATTGTTTGACATGCTTGTATTACTAGTCGCTTGGACTACTAAAATTCTCTTTTTACTGCTCTCCCTAAAAATGTTAAATAAATTGCAATTAATTCAGCCAGGATTTGAACAAACACAATGATTTAAAAGTGCTTAAAATGATTTACAAGGCTTTACATTACCTGGCCCCTACATATCAGTGACTGCTTTTCATTTCATGACCCTCAGATTCTCCAATGTCTTTCTTTTAGAAGTACCTAGTATTTTACATTGGATCTGAATAGAAAACTCCTTTGGAGTTTTTAAAAGTAAATTAAATACCTATCTTTTTTTATTTGACTTTTAACTTGGGGTCATTTTAGTGCTCTCACTATTTATGTTTTAATGTTTTAGTGTTCTGTATGGTTTGTTTAAAGCTTGTTTTTAATTATAATCCTCACTTTAATTATGTTACTCACACTTTGTTTTGTATCTTGTGTTTGTAAAGCACTTTGGGCTGCAACTTGCGTGAAAGGTACTATATAAATAAAGTTTATTATCATTTATATTATTATTGACAGCCAATCAAAATGCATCCCAAGTGTATATGTCGATAAATAGTAAAAGGCCATTTTCGCTCAGCGATAAAGTGAAACTTCAGAATCAGCAGCATCCCCTGGTGCTATGTTTAGTTTCTGGCTTACTTTCAAAGGTTTTCTACTTCCTATTATTCCTACCCTTACCATCATTTCTTCCTCTGCGCAGAGTTCAGAAGTAGCAGGTCATCAATCTCCATTTTGGAGCCCCGACACAGCTGGAGCGTGCTGCGTGTGCTCAGCCCTGCTGTTTACAGAAGGTTTCTCTTCAGCTGCGTGTATGCTAACATCGTTATATTTATATTTATAGTTATTGTTGTTGGTTTTGACGGCCCTTAAAGCGCCGTGAAGCCGGGAGCTGCAGCCGTGCGGCGGTGAAACACCACGAACAAAGTGGCGATTAAAGACACGTTAAGTAGCCAGTAGCTCTCCGAAACCTGACTGTTAAAGAAGAATTGCAATTCAATTAAAATAGAAACACTTATATAATATACTGCTATATGTGTATGTAGGGGAAATTAGGAACATGGTTTTCTCTGCAGTTGATGTAGCTAAGGCTCACTTTTTGAAATAACAAAAGGAATCCATCTGTGTGTGTGTTACCAGCCATTGTCCTGTGTCTGTGATCACAGTGACTGCCTCGTTTAATCACTCCCACACAAAACACAACTTTAAAACACTTCCCCTCGTACATGGATTAGAGCATCGATGATTATGTTATTTCACATCATGTCCCAGTTCCCAGCAGCACCAGGCCACCAGATCTCCGGCTCCTGGCACAAAAAATTGCTTTTTAATCCCCTCACTTTTGTTTTTTTTGTACATTTCCTCATTCCTTTATGGTGGGAAAGGTCTGAGTTTTTATTAAACTGACATTTCCCCCTCCCTTCTGCTTTCTTGTGTCCACTTCAGGTGCGAGTAGGATTTTCCGCCATCGCCGCCGCCGCTGCTGCTGGAATCATAAGAAAACGAGGTGGACTGAAAATGAAGCAACGAAAATAAGTTGTTTTTTAAAATCATATGATCTTTTCCTTTTTCTTTTTACAATTTGTATCTCTTGATTGTCGCATCTCAGATCACGCACAACATCCTCCTCAGAGTTACCCGGCCTTCACAGACCTGATGCTACAAAAGCCTGAGTAAGAAGGGGGCTTTGCTTTGGCACCTTTTATCTTAGCGAGGTGTACACATGCTCCCTAATTGAAATCATATGAGTGCAAGGAGACATTCCGGGTTACGATCTGTGAAGGTAATTGAAACAGCCAACCTCTACTGCGAAATTCAAATTCCTTTCTATTCATTTCTCACAGGATTTAGAGTTTTTCAGTAATATTACAGGAGCGAATCTTCTTCCAGTATATGCAGAAACAAGGTTCAACACTCAACATCAGAAAGACCACTGAGATGTGAATAACTGGTATCCAACAACAGGTGGGATTTTGGTTTTACAAACCCTAAATCCTCTTTAAGATCTGGATTATTTGTGTCTTTACTAATCAATAAGACTTATTTGTACAAGTCCCACCAGCCAATCACAGTAGTATGAAGAAGGCTGCAAACTGAAGGTAAAATGAAACAAGTAAAATAGTTTGTACTGCCCCTTTAATTGTAATTGTCCCTTTGAGTTTATGATCCTGAATATTTCCACTTGGTGCCAGTTTCATGACAAAACTAGTACTAATGCTGACTCATCCTTACAATGAATTATCATTGCACTCATGACATAATCAGACTTGTTATGAAAAGTTAAGAAGATCCAAGTTGCAACAGAATCAGAGATTTGGGTTGTTTTTTATTCCACCAAATGTTCATCCTTGTAAAACATGAAACAAAAGAAGACAATCAGGAAATGATGCATGGTAATAGAAGTTTTCATTCACTTTCAAACAAAAACAACTCTTTGCAGAGCGTTCAGGACTATCACATGATCTTCATCAGCACATTGCTCTTAAAAAGTACAATAACAACATTTCAAGAGAAACCTTTAATGTCTGAACACTTTAGGACAGGTTTAAAAAGAGAATGTGGTCTTTGCTGACCTGGTGACCAGTTACCTTTTTAAACCTTCTCTTTAGAAAAAAAGCCTTCGTTAGAAAAAAATGGAACACGTTCCCTTAAAAAGGAAGATTAGTTATTGATTAAGAAGATTGTCTGTTTAACATCCCATCCTCCCCTTTACAAATCCAACATTCCCTTTAAGTGTGGGGTTTAAATAACATTCAAAGACATGTATATTTTAAAAGTCTAGTTTGGCTTTATTAACATCTCAAAGATCGGAGTTTCTGAAGATTCTGAACATTGCCTTTAAGAGGAAACCAGTTTAATGATCAGCACTTTCATGTAAGTTCCTGAAAGAAACCCAGAACTTCTCCTTTAAGTCGCTCTGAGGGAGGAGTGGGGGCATTAGCAGGTTGTAAACTCTTGGACTGGACAGATGTTTGGGCCGAGGTGATGTTGTATGTGACCTGTGTTGCCGTGGAGACGCGAGGAGGAGGGTGAACCGGAGCACTGAATGTGTGCCTGCAGCAGCCGTCTGTACACCGACCGACAGACAGGGCGGATTAAAAAAACAGACAAACGAAAACGCCGAGTGCCAAAGCTGGGATCTGCTGCATTCTCACTACACTTTTGAAAAAAAGGGTTCTTCTTCTTGTATATAGGATATATATATATGTTTGTTTGTTTTGTTTTTTTCCTGTATTGCTACAGATTTGTAAAGTTTTGCGGGAAGATTTTGTTACATTTTGTAAAATGGGAGCAAATGGTCCCCCGAAACCCTCCTCTTTTTTTGTTGCTTTTTTAAACCCCTCTCTCTCAGATTCTCTACTTTTATTTGTTGATGGAAAAAACGGTGCCATCAGTGGTGTATGTGTGTGCAACGGTTTTTTTCTTTCTTTCTTTCTCCGTCTCTCTCTTTTTGTACTGAACCACCGTGGAACCACTACAGGAAAAAAAAAAGAAAAAAAGACAGACCAGTTGGCAATACTTCAGTCACTTCTCCTTCATCTCACCGGCACTGGACTTCTGCCTGCCACTTCCCCGCTGAGAGGAGGTGGGAGGAGGAGGAGGAGGAGGAGGAGGAGGAGGAGGAGGAGGAGGAGGAGGAGGAGGAGGAGGAGGAGGAGGAGGAGGAGGAGGAGGAGGAGGAGGAGGAGGAGGGAGGGGGAGGAGGGGGGAGGGGGGACTTCGCTTCACATCAAATCAGATTTAAAAAACAAAACACACAAAAAAGCACCTTTGGACCTTTTCTCTTCTTTTTTTTTTTACTGTGCATAAGTGAAGTCAAGTGCTATTATTATATTATTATTATATTATTATTAGTATTGTAGCCACTCTGTCTGGAACCCATTTTTGCTGAAAAAAAAGAAACGTAAGCCAATCTGCACTTCTTGTTCCGACGAACATGCTTGTATGACCAAGTGACTGTCGTGGGTCTTTGTTTAAACCGATAAGGAACAAAACAACATGAAAACAAACAAAAAAAAACTATCAAGAAACTTTCAAAATGGTGGCAAAGCGCAGAAGGATTCAACGGTAACGATCTACCTGTCATTCTTTCTTTTTCTATCTCTTTCGTTTCCTTCATCGTTGATTGTTCTCAATTTCTATCTCTCTTTGTCATCCTGCACACCATCTACACATCTGTAATAAACAACAAAAAAAAAACAAAAAGAGAAATAGCCTTTTATTCAATACATAACTACATGTTGGCTTGGTAGGCTTAGTTAAAACTAGTTCCATTCCGACAGAAAAGAATAATAGTAAAAACAAAATATGAGCTTCTTTATGTATTGCTTCTGCCGCTGTAGTGTCCTGGTCAGATTTAAGATGATAAGACTACATATATCTGAAATACTGTATTTACAAATACAAACCAGGGCTGGCCTCAACAAAAGCTCAATATACTGTAATAGGGGGGGGGGGATCTCAACTCTGTCCACTTGGGGGGGATTTCTGTACTGCTGCTTTGAATTAAAATGCTTGTTTATTCGCTTAAAGTCTTCATAGTTGTTTTAACTGTTAGCACTGAAGCGCTCAGCTGCACGTCCTTCTGTCAAAACCCTAAAAAGAAAGCGGCGCTGCAAAGAGAGGCTCTTGGTGGACGCACAGCATTAGAACAATTCCAAGAGACTTTTTGAAGTGTATAGTTTTAATGCATATTTTTCTGATGATTGATTGAATGTATTTGTTTTGAGGAGTTCACTAAACACTGTGGGTTTACTGTTTGAAAAGGAAAGAGCCGAGCACACTAGTAACTTATAGAAAACTGTTTTGGTCTTCCTGAGTCAAAAAGCATTCAATGTTTGAACTAACTGTTCTTTTAGCAACCAAGCTAACTCTCTTTAGAAGTGTACATTATCCTGGTTAGTTAGCGTGTTAGAACCAAACATACTCTCTTGAATGTGTACCGGTACATGTTCCTGGTTAGCTAGCGTGTTACAACCAAGCTAACCCACTTGAACACTATGTACGTTCCTGTTAGCTTGCATGTTAGCAGCCAAGCTAACTCTTGAGAACTGTGTACATTCCTAGTTAGCTAGCGTTTTAGCAACCAAGATAACTATTTTTGGCAGTTAGCGAAGCTCCATGCTACAGATGTTTTGTAGGATCAGGCAGACAAACGTAAGCCTGTTTCCTGACGACGGCTTGAGGCATCAAATGTCTGGTCATAGTTCTGGATGAACTTTTTCAGGAATAAAATTCCCAGATTTATCCTGTCTTAGGTGTTGCTGCTTTAAGTTCCATTTTGGAGACTAAACTGTCCGACTAGTGTGCTCTAATCCTTCTTCTTTTTATTTAAAAATTGCTCATCTTGAAGTTCATGTGTTTGATCCGCCTGGTTTCCGAAAAAAAGACTTTAGAAACCTGATATTTGTCCATAACTTGATAATAAAAGTGAGATCCAACCTTTTCGGTATAGCCTAAACCCTTATTTGATTTAATGTGGATTGGAACCTTTTTTTACATCCTAAAACTCCACTTTGGTTGATCTAAAGGCTTTCTTGTTGTTTATTCTCTTTTTAACTCAAAAACATTTTATAGCTAAAATCAAGTTAATGAATCCATCCTTAATTGTCAATTCAGGAGACTTAATCCGGCCTCGCTTTGTAGCTGTCAATTAAGAAGCCTGGAGATGTTTAAAGCTTGAGTTAATCAAACATTACTGTAATAAAATACTCTCAGTATTGTAGATAACTCTGTGATTTAACCAAAAAGTGTTTGGGCTAAAACCCAACATTTTTGAAAATGCAAATCCACATGCTGGAGCAGTGTCAATCATGGAAAGGCATTCTAAACAATAAGTATGTTAGTATCTTGTGGAGGATCATGAGGATAGTTTTTGATGTCTTTCTTTTTGGGAAACCAGCTGCACTAAATGTCTTTTTAAGGGGAGTTAAGGCCAGCCCTGCATCATAACTGAGGTTCTGCTTCTTCTACTACCGCTACTATCAAACAACCAGCCTTGGGCACAAAAACAGACCTGAACATTGTTTCAAATCCTCCCTTCAGAACTCAAGGTGCATTTGATTTCTATCTTCATATACCAGCATTTTCAACAGTCAGAACCTAAGGTAGAGCACCAGCTTGATTCGTTTATGTCACAAAAAAACGTATGTAAATCAACTTGTGGCCCAAAATTAGACTTCTTTTCCTCAGTTTGGGCGACAAGTCTTGAGCTTCTTTGTTGTTTTGTAACTTGTAATAACAAAAATAGCCTTCATTATTTCTTTTTATGTGAATTTGAAAAGTATTCAAGCTCTGTTTCTGTTGCCCAGGTCAGCAAAACAACCTGTTGATGTCTGCTGTATTTCAATAAAATACCGCCTTTTTCAAAGGGTACACCTCTTTACCTGTTCTTTCTGTATTTGTGTCTAATTTACCCATTACATTATTTGTGTATTACAATTTACCACAAATGTACCAGCATTAAACACACATTACACCATTGTAGCACACCATTTAACTCCAATAATTGATATTGTTTTATGTTTTTTGACAAACTTCCTCTTATGATAACCTCAGACTGCATTAACACTAGAAAACACTTCCTGTTACTTCCGATCTCTGATCAGATGAGTTTGAAGTCTGTCTTCAGAGAATTTTCTCTCAGCGTTATTGGAACAAATGTTTGGAACTAACTCCTATCTAACTTTCCAAATGTAATTGCCACTTTATGCCTAACTGGTATCGGAGCCATTCCATCAACTAGTCAACATAATCAACAATTCTGACAATCAGAAAAGTGTTTCATTATCTCTGGTGGGCGCTGAGCAGCTGCAGCAGAGCAGGTGCATAACAAGAAGTTTATTAATTTAGTAAAGTTAGATAAGGACTAAACCTAGCAGGAAAGCTAATGCTGTTTGCAGTCTGTGGCTGTTCCCTGAATTTTCCCTTGATTTTGTTTGTTTTTAAGGTATAACAAAACAAAAAACTGATCAAAATCTGCAAAAACTTCACATACTGTAGGGATAAGGGTGTGATGGATGGGTCACACATACAGGATTTTAGACAGGAGAGTGTTTTGTGTTTCCTGTAACCAAGTCGTTTTGTTGTTAAAACAACTGAGAAGATTATCAGAAAGAAAACAAGTTCTCCTCTAAGTTGAATTGTGAATGCATAGTTGTATGAGCAAGCTTGGGGAGTATTGGATTACATGTAACGGGATTACATAATCAGGACACAAAAACAGAAGCTATCTGTCTTGGTTTACAGAAAATACGAGTTAAAAAACACTATGACTTATTTTCATGTGGTGTCCACACATATGCAGGGTCTCAAGGCTTGTTACAAACCATGTGTTTCTTTTGAATTAACGTTTTCTTGCTCA